TTTTTTTTTTTTTTTTTTTTTTTTTTTTTTTTTTTTAAGAATTATTCACCGATTTTAATTTATCAAATTATATGTAAAAAAATTTTTTATATGTAAAAATTTATATGTAAAAAAAAAAAAAAAAAATTACAATTTGTCGTAGAATTTGGTTGGAATTTGGCGAAAAAAATAGAAAGAGGAAGATTATTTTTTCAAAAATTTTATTATACATCGTTTAATAGTCTAAACTTATCCGTCTAACTTGTCAAAAAAAACTCAAGTTGTTAAGTCTAATTTTAAAAATGTTATCGCATTTTACAGGTATACCACTTTTTTGACCGATTGTATACGTATATGTAAGTATATATGTGATCCATTAATAAATATATGTATACGAGTAAATACATATGCGATTAGTTAATGACAAGTAAAGCGATATGGATAAAATATATACTCATATTTTTCTTTAGTTCCCGCATATGCAAATATATCCTCTCCGCGTATATATATGGATATCGTTAATCCTACGCATTTGTTATAAATATCGTATATATTTAATATTATAACGACAATATAATAAACATTTCATCAGATTAGATAATACATACGATATATTCCAAACAAGATTTCTTCGAAAAAAGAAAAACAATTTTCAACGCGAATACTTTAACATTTGAAAAAAGCGATAATAAATTATATTAGTAAATATGCGATAAAGATATATTGAGTAATAATTCAAAAATGCAACGTGAAATGCAGTCGCATAATGCAACTTCGCTATTCCATTCTTCACTGTTTTTTAGAACATCATCATGAACCGGGCAAAGATTTTTAAAAACATCAGGACACGATCTGATAAGATAAAAATCGATAAATCATCCTTCTAATCACGATTAAACACGATTTTTATTTCGTCGATAATGCAGACATTATCTATGAATTTATTATCAATTGAATTATTTTTAAGAAACTCGTCAATTAACAATTATAATATTTGAAAAAAATTTAATTCTAAGATGAACGAAATTCTTTTATATTTCCTTTTATTTTCTCATAATAATCTATCCTTCGATAGATAGGAGTCGAGTTTGGATGGTAGAAGGGTAAGGGAAAACGAGTTTATTGCGCTCGGAGAGCGCAGCTCAAAGGGGATCGAAGATATACATGTATACGTTACATGTATATACGTGACGTGAATAATTGTAACTTGACTGGTTACGCTTCACAATTAGTACCACATATGCGGTCATCATTGAACATTGTATGAGCTATAGGTAGCCGTGTGTTGGCATTGCTAATACATCCATACAAGTTTCACTGTCATCGACATCGTGCCATGCTATGCGGTGTTAGTTTCCGTTCCACGGCGTACCCATTGCCCTTTTTGCTTTTATCTAAATCTTTCCAATTAGTCATTTCCGCATATAATTTTGTTTCATTTTATTTCACTCTCTTCGTCTGATCTTATACTCTTATCGTAAAATGGGCAACAAACAAATACAACAGAATTGAAAACAAGATTCTCCAACAATAATTGATTGAATCGATAATGAACTTTTATCTTTTTCTTTTTTTTTTTTTTGACGAAATAATCGTGCGTATAGAAATCGAATAAAACCCATCTAATATTGTCTCTTTAATTTCAAAAAAAAAAAAAAATATATATATATATATAGTTATATATGTATACGCGTATATGTATATTATACATATATATTATATTATGTACACGATCATGCTATTCGTATGCAAGGAAAAAGACAATCCGCGACTGAAAAAAAAGCTAAAGAGCAAATGTAAATGAGAATAAGGGATGATACTGTATCTTATGAATGAAAAAAGAAATATGATTAAAGGAAAAAGCAAAGAGATGGCGTACGTAAGTACAAGTAGTAAACGAGTGTTAGCGAGAAGAGATGCGAGTTCTGTGTATTTGTACGTGTAAAAGCGCGCGCGTTTGTATATGCATGCACGTATAAATGTCGGGAGAAACGGTGGATGGGAAAGGGGGGCAAAGGAGAAGAAACAACATCTCCTAACTCGCTTGCTCGCACGTACGCACGGTCGATCGTTCCTGCTGGCAGCCATTTTGTGCTTGCCCGTAGACCCGACATTCTATCCTGGGAAAGTACTGTCCGTGATTCGTTTTATCCATCCATTTATTGTTCATCTGATTACGCATTTTCTATTTACGAGAAATATAAGAACGAAAAGATATCGTGTAAAAATATATATGTTTTCGGTTGAAGAACAAATTTTTTAAAATATCCTGACGTTCAAATGATCGAACGTTTTATACGACAGGACAATTAATTCTATATCAGAATATATCCTTCCGTAGTTGATTCGGTACAATCTTGATTGTAAAAATTGTTTACTTGTGACCGCTTTTAGCGTTAAATTTCCTTACTTTTTACTGCTTCAATAAGCAATAATATGCCAATGTTAAAAAGAGATGAATTTATCGAACAAAGGTTATCGTTCGCTTGATGACCGTGTGTCTAAAGTCAGCTATTTTAATCAATAGCAGAGATTACACCAATGTATACATATTTCTCGCTAATTAAAATATACTTTATACTTGTCATTGTTTCTCCATCATTAGTATGAAACGCAATTTTTCGTTATTTCAAGGATTTTTATCGTTATCTATGAAAACCAGAAATCTAAATCGGATGGGAAAAAATATCAAGCGAGATATTAAGTGCTAAGAGATATTGTTATAACTTTATTTCAATCAGAAAAACAAATAACGAAAAGTTAATGAAAAAAATTATAAAAAAGTATATGTAATAAATGAACGTAAAAGAAATCCATCGAATAATAAATATGCATGCTATTAATGAAATATTTACGAGTTGAAATGTAAATCGTATGTAGATGAATTGCTAACTTGTTTTTTCGTATTGTTGAAATTTAAAGTTGGCTTCTTTTATTTGCCAGTTTGAAAAATAAAAATTATATTATAAGAAAGATTTTATATTATAAGAAAGAGGAACGAGTAAAGTAAAATAAAATAAATCAAAAAAATAGGTAAAATTTAAATAATACATAATTGTGCACCGATCACGATAAAATATACTGAAACATCAATCTATCGATTTTTTTATTTCACGACGATAATTTATCAATTTATCAAAATAATTTATCAATTGTACAAAACTAATTATTAATGATATCAAAAAATTGGCGACGATGTTTTATCAACAATCGTTTCATCAATCGTTAATTACTGCAAAAATCTTTTCGATTTCCCGCCTTTTTGCTTGCTCTTTTTTTCAAAACTTTTCTCTTTTCTCATATCAATCAAATCAATAAATTATTAAATTTATTTATTATTTATTTAAAATTCGACTATTATTATCAGTTAGTAAAGTAAAGTAAAAAACAATGCGTAATAAATAAATAAAAATTATAAAAAAATAATATCGCGCGGAAGAATTTAAAGATAAAGATTGCAGATTCGATAAATATTTGAAAAATAAAAAGGTGAAACGATATATAATAGGATAGATAACTGGAACGAATGAATCGTGATCTGTGTTTACATAAAAAACAACATTATAGCTATTATATTATCTCATCGATCGATCGTTTTAGAGATTAATCTCGACAAAACTATATATTTCGTTTTTACAGAATTCGTCCTGAATACTAGGTAGATTAATAATACTATAATAAATGAGATATATGTTAAATTCGTGTTATTACGTAAATCAAAACAAGGTCATTGTTTATCTTCTAACTTGAGTTTACGTTATCAAGCAGCTTACATTAATACCTGAATTAGTTGGCTAAATAAAAATAATAATCG